ATAGGTTCTGTTAGGGGAATCAATGGTGACATATTTCAAAGCAGAAATCTTTTCATGCTTATTTATACTATTTAATGAGATTTCAGGTATATTTTAACAAATGGGGTTTCCCTGATGAATCATTAAAATAAGCGAGTGGGCTGGAAGGTAATACTTACTTTTCTCAGTTCTACCCTGTTTTATTCTGCTGGGTTATTAGTTGTTTTTTAAATAGAACGCGGGTGTGTTAGAGTTGGTGGGTGGAAGTGCAGAAGGGAAGGGGTCAGTAAGAAAATAACCAGGTAAACTTCTGATGACCTATTGGGAAATCCTACTCAAATTTTACTTTCTTCTACTTAAAGCGTTTAGTATTTAAGCACTCTGTTTTTGCTCTGCCAGGCTTAACTTTCCAAATATTGTATATAGGCAAATAGAAAAATATACTTTCAGCAATTGATTGAAGTATAAGCTATCAAGCCATGTGTGGAGTAGCCTGTGGAATCAATTTCTCATATGTGTGGGATTAAAACCGTTAAAACCATCATCGCTGAAACCATACCTTCCTACAACTAATAGCAGTAAGGTGTCTGTGGAATATATTAATACAAAGTTTCTCTGATTTAAAGTTATTACTTGGTATTTGGTTGGAAAATTATTTAAATATTATAGGTAACTGAATTGACATCATATGTGAGGGTAAATGGTGGGTTTCTAATGTGACTTGGGGTTAATTTTAAAAAAGTCCACATGATGTATTTATACTTAGCACATTTTTTTTTTCAATAAAACAGTGGCATATTGCAAATTTCCTTGATCTATACTGTTAAAAAATAATTATCAGTTGTAAATGCTGGAGGAGGTAGACAAAGATGTAGTTCACCTTGAAAATGATCATGGCTCAGGGAATAAAGAAATTGGGTCAAGCTGAAAATAAATGCAGGTACAATGACAAAAAGTTTTAATAAAAAATTAAAAATATTCATAGCATTGGTTTCAGGCTATTTTTGTTCTCAGTGATCTTATCAATGCATTATTAGTCTTTAATTGAGAGGACTCTGATGGCACTTTTTCATTTTGGTCAAAATGTTTATGTGAAATGCTATTGTGATTTTTCACTTTCCACTCCTTTTAGTTTTAATTATAAATACTTTTTTCAGAAAGGTAGATAATTCTTAGATCATTTTGACCTCTGGGGTCTTACATAGAATTTGAAGTTGTTTAAAATTTCTATGTCATAGCTATCACTTTGACTCATTTTCTATTTCCAGTTTAGTGTCTAGCATTTAAGCATATACCATTAAATCCTAGTATTGATAATTAATTAAACTTACATAAAACTTTAATGGTATAGTAGGTTCTTATTCATTTGGTATCACTGGGGAATAAAATATGCTGAAGAAATGTGGTTTTTTTTTTAAACTGAAGCTTACTTATTAACGTAAGAAAACTTAAAAGTTGATAAAAATTTATCTGAAACATTTTATATGCTCTTTTAGGGAGCAAGAATGGATTGGCCATTTACTCTTTTCTTAATGTCATAAAATATCAACATTGTGGTGTCATTCAGGAAGGTACTTGGGCTTTCTGACTGGTATTTGTTCTCCAATGTCAGAATTTTTTTTTTTCTGTTTCTTCCTTTTAAAAATGCCACACCCCTAATTCTAGTATACTTAACACAGTTTCCATGTTTTAAGGTTTAATGTCTGTGATGGTACGTGTGCTAATGCTTTGATAGATCCAGTCACCCGGCACCTGTGTGCCATCTTTTAGCAAACACTTGGCCACAGCCTCCTGCCATAACAACTTGCTTTGGAGTAAATACTTTCAGCGTTAAGGCTCTGTTACTGCTGCTCCCAAGCACTCACTGCCATGTAACCATCGCTAGTGGTGCAAATGTCTATATTCTCCTGGCTTGCTTGTGAGCATCTGTGGTGTTAGGGTGACCTGTTGCAGTTTTCCAGGAGTATTGCTAAAGTGGCCAAATAATGTACTTCTTTTATCTTTTAGCGAATTCTAGCATAACAGCAAAAATCCTTTTTAACAAAGTTTTATTAACCTTGTGCTTTTTGTTTTAAGCAGTGTTTTCTAAAACAAAACTAAGCACAGCTTATGTATTTGGACCCTTCTTTAATGTGCTGTAATGACATTTGGTTTGAATCTTATATTTAAAAATCAGCTTCCCCTCTTTTGCTTGCACCTAATGGAAATCATCTTTCTTCCAGGTTGCGCTTTAAGACCATAGGGAAGAACACATTTTTCTGGCCACTAAAGTTGCAATAGAAGTTAAGTGGGGGAATTGCCAGGATATGTCTGTCTCCACAAAACGAGCAGAACAAATTTCCATGAATCAAAGCCACTAAGTATAGTTTTCAGAGATGGTAGGACATAGTTACTCTCCCTAGAAAAATACCCAAAAAGCAGGCACACCCATTGGCCACTAGAAAAAAGCTCAAGTAAACGCTAGTTCAAACCTGTACATTTCACTCTTCTTACTAAGCTATTAAAGGGGTGGAAATCTACTATAGCTATAATCTTTTTTTCCCCTTTTCTATTTTTCAACCTCCCACATGCGTGGTATTCAGTTCTGCTTACTGAGTGTCTTGAATCTACAGCAGCACCTACACATACTGCCTCCACGGTGTTGATGGTTTGCAGATAACTTATGATTCAGACCCGTAAGAAACATCTGTAAATATATGGTATGATACGTGCTCTAGATTAATCATGGAAAAGGGCAGAGTAATGAAGAATCAGAAAACTTTTTTCTCTCCTAATATTGATGTTGCTTTCTTTGAGGTTGTATGAGTGAAATAGTCTTTGGAGTATATCACATTTATATCACATTTCATCACTTGGGGAAATATCTTAGGACATTTTCGTGAGAGCTGGTTAGAGACCTTTTAAGGATATACAAGGCATATACACCTTGCGTGATTAGGTTAGAGGAAATAAAGCAAGATAGTGGATATCTGTGATGTGATCTAGTAAGCAAATTAATGTTAAACTTCTTTTATTCTGTCTTTCTTGCAACCTTTGATATAATTTTCAGAATTGCCTTTTATTAGTCTCTCTAGTTATTTCTAGAATTTTCCAGCACTTGAAGGATTAGTGGCACTATTTTGTTAAACTTGGTGGGTGTTTGTCAACTTATTGAACACTGCATTATTAGAGTTGAAGTTTTCAACTGGCCTGAAAAAACTGGGCCTCTACATAGCTCAGCCTCTGAGCTTACTTCTTACCCACAAAACCTGCGAGGCTCTTAAAATCATATTTGAAATGCAAGCTGCTGATGAAGAATGGGTAACACCCACTGTATTTCAGATACATGTGTATATCCACCTTTCCCACCTGCCATTGGTGATAGGAGATCATCATTGAAAATTACTGACTTTAAAATGCTGGAAGATTTGAAGATATCCTTTCTTCTTAAGTAAGGGGATTGATACTAATAATGAGAGGGGTAAAATACCTTATTACTGATCGTAAGTTACTATGTTTTAATTTTATCTTCACAACACACCTCTAAAGTTAGTACTGTTTGTCCTCATTTTAGATAGGGCGAGACTCAGTCCTACAAAGTTAGGTAACTTGTTCAAACCAAGGTCATACAGCTAGAGAAAACAGAGCTGAGCTTCAAAGTTGTATCGCACTGACCCCAAAGTTCATGCCTTTTCTACCTGAGGAATATGGCTTCTTATTTTGCAGATAAGTGAAATATGTGTTTGTATACTCCCCAAAAATGCTCATTGGAGATTCAGACGTAAAGAAATGATTTTTTTTTTCACTTCAGTCATTTCTTCAAAACAGAAAACAGGACAATTTGAGATTTTTTTGCTTTGAAATGCAATTTAAATAGGCATTCTGTTGACTAAACAAGGTAAGGCAGTTTTATTAGTGAAGAGCATCATTGAATTGTTGACAATTATAATTTTATAGAACAACATTATTAAAAAAGCAATATGCTGTTTAATGAGTGCCATTTACATAAGTCAAAGGAAAATTCAAACATCTGGAATTTTTTTAAAACAATGTAGTATTTATGTTTCTTCCTTCTAACAGGAAATAGGATATAATTTGAAATGTATATAAAAGAGTTTATACTCACATATTTTTTATTTCACTGAGCACATTAGCAAAATCATATTATTAAAATAAAAAAAATGGCTCGATAGCCAATTCTCTGTGATGAAAATTTTACCATGTTTTTAAAAATAACATTACTTTATTCTTGTTAATGGGTAATGGGTTTGTTTGTTGTTTAAAGAAAGGTCATAGAAACCTTGCTGGTTCACAGGCATATAGCTTTACCCTACTTTTTTCATCTTCCTTTGGGGGCGGGATATATATAATTGTGGGGAAGTGGGCAAGGTATGTCCAATGTCTCAAGAAATTGAATCCTAAGATTTATAACACTAGAGAACTGAGATTTGAATATGAATGTGCTTTCTTTTAAATATGGATTCATTGGGGACTGTGAAATTAAAGATAGATTAAAAGATGGAGTTGTAGAATCAGAGAATTTCCGAACAGGAAAGGGCCTCACAAATGAAAGGCTCTTGGAGTGGAAGTCTTAGCAGATGAGTTCAGTGACTATCCAAGACTAGATAGAGTTCTAGGCCAAGCCAGTTCTGAGGTTACTGCATCAGGGTCAAAGCCATTCCAAACAGGAAGTGAATGACCACAGCAGGAGAGACCTTAAACTTTGTAGGGTAGGAGAAAAACATTGAGTCATTATGGAAGTAATATTAGGGCATGAAGAAAACAGAAATCAAGAAAATAAAGTATCCTTTATTTCCTCTTACTAATATGAATGATGTAAAAATATAGATTACAAAAATATAAACCTTAAGTGTTGTATAATTTTTTAAAAAGTGGGACAAGGCTATTTTAAAAACATAATATATCTGTAAATCATTTGCATTTGCTTTTTTGGGTGTAATATTTTAACTTATTTTTATTTAAAAAATCTTTACATATACGTGTATTTGAAAGAAATATATATTTTTTTGCTTATTATCTAGAATCCGTGACGGTTTGAAAGGGCCAATGAGTATTCTTATCATCGAGGCATTCTATGGAGGGTCCCATAAACAGCTGGTGGATTTGCTCCAAGAGGATTTGGAAAACTGTGTCCTTTATACCCTTCCTGCAAAGAAGTGGCATTGGAGAGCACGGACATCAGCTTTATACTTCTCTCAGAATATTCCCATCAGTGAGCATTACAGGTAATTAGAGCTCAGGTTGCCTCTTCAGCCTGTTTTTAATGTATACCTCTTATAAGGATGTTGCTTCTCTGTTGGCATCTATGAAATTTTCTGCAACTGTGGAATTGGTCAGTATGACTATAGTAGAGACAGCAGAGCAGAGAGTACATTACACTGTGATAACACCTAGTCGGTAGAAAAGTGGCCTCATTTACAATCTACATGCCTTTTCTCATTTGTGATTTTATTACAGGCACAAATGTGGGTGTGGATGACAGTTATTTTGGCCTAAGAAAGTTGACTTGGGCACATTGTCTTTTTTTGTTGTTGTTCTGTAACCTCCAATGTCTCTTTCAGTTAGTATGCTGTTTTAGCTTAGTTTATTGTGTCTGCTCTATACTAGGAGCTAAGGTTTCAAAGATGGATATGACTAAGGTCTATGCCCTTACAGGCTTTAAAGACTGTTGAGGTAGAGATAAGATAGGCAAGTGCAGTGGGAGTATGGTAAAAGAAGTTGATTTTTACTGTGAGAAACCGAAGGTGGCTTTATACAGTTGGTAACCTTTGCTTAATGTTGAAAGATGAGAAGATTTGGGGGACACAGACCTCAGTTATGAATTCTGATTTGTTATGAAGTGGGAACTTGGGGCACCTATTAGGAAGTCTTATGGGACACACTGAAAAGATGGCTGAGAAATACTCATTACATTTTTAGGAGGAACAAGTTGAATGAAATCCCCCTGAACATTTCTGCCTCTTTATACTCTATTTGTATGTACTGCAATGTGTCTCTTGATTGTTAAATAGTGGAAGATTATCCTACTGTGGTTTACATATTTGATGTTCTTGCCATTCTGGGTAGGACTGCATTGGTTTAAGCAGGAGTGGGGAGTGCTAGGCTGATAATTTATGTAGTTAGAGCAGACAGGTTGTTAGAGAAAGGGCACATTGCAAGCTACTTTGCCCACCTTGGCTTCAGCAGCCATACCCATCTGCTGCTTGTAAGGTGGAAAAGTCATAAGGGAGATAGCAGCTTGAGATAGAAATGTAGGTTGCTGTTCTTAGTAGTAGTTTGGGGAATTTAGAGAATAACCCTTTTGGCATATGAAAACCAGACATCATCTCTGAGAATTCAGATTGTCAGATGGAATGGTAGTGAGCACTCAAGTCACATTGCTTGGGATTGTAAAGATAAAATGCTGTTTTGGGACATAATGAGAATTTTGTATTTTTCTAATCTAAACTATATTTTTCCTTATATAATTTAATGTTTTATATTCTGATATTACTAAGTGAATATTGTTGTTTTGCTAATAGCATGGGAAATTTCAATGAATGTATCGATATAAAATTTTTAAAGGTAATGATAAGACCATTGCTGTGTTAAAATCTGACTGTTTATAGTTGTTTTCACATCTCATTTAATTGTGTTTTAGCTGCACCAATTGTAGTGTATTACTGGAGGTCATGTAATCCAGTTGAATTTATGGTGCACTTTTATTTAACATTGCCATTTGATATAATAAATTTCTACAGTGATTTGATTTTGAAATGAATCATTTCTATATCTATTAATTTCATTTTGATTATACAGTTTTTCAGAATGAAATTATTATATTACAAATATATGTATGTGGATAGCATGCGAGCACACACTTCTCTGCCCATGGCCTCCACACTCCCTTTGAGGTCTGAATCATTTGAGGATAAACATCACACTGTTCTTTGAAGCAGTCTTATTTAGGAAGTAGATTTGGGAAGTAGTTAAGTTTTACTCTCTGATAGCTGTAACCTCCAGGCCCAAACAGTGGTATTTGTGATCTTTTAAAGTCAGCTGTGTAAGCTATATAGTATTAATCTAATCAGACTTCACTAAAAGATATTCCTTACTAGTTTAACTTATAGTTATATTTGACCAGCGATAACTTATGTACTCTATATCAAATAATTTTTTTGAATACTTTTGAACAAATAGCAGCAGCTGGAAAACTTAATACAAAGTTAAAAAGTATGCTCACTTAATCCTAGATTGAAGCGAAAGAGTAACCTTTTATTATACCGGATAAATCTGATCTCCATAGAGACTTAAAGATATGAAAAGTTTTCACTTTCCAGTTACTTACTCTGTTTGTACATTTAGGAAATGAAATCATAAAAATTCATAAAGAAATAATGAATAAGCACCAATATTGCCTACTATGCAAATTACTGAGAACAGGTAGAAGTATATCTGAGAAAGACCTTGAATGCAGGTATACATGTTATTTTTCTAACTTTGTGTGTGTAGTCATTATTGTTATAAGCTTGTTATCTGGAAAATATTTTATTACTAAAAGAATAAATGCTTCAGCTTAATTCTTCAGTTGGATTCTACTTTAGCTTGACAGCTAAAAGAATATATCGTGATTCACATTTACAGCTGTATAATTTTATTATAGATTAGAAAAGCTTCACAAGTTATTTTTGTCAAAAGTAGTAGGTAATTGTTGTAATTTTTAGGTTATGTTAAAGCCTTTTTTAAAATTTAAAATTTAAAAAAGTTAGACATTTATACCACCCATGAAGTGATCTCCCCTATTAACTCTAGCACCCATCTGGCACTACACACAGCCATTACGATAGTACTGACTATACCCTATGCTATACCCTATGCTATCCTCCAGAGCCTTGCCTTCTGGAAACGTCACAAAATGCAGAAAAATATTTCTGAAGATGTGCCTTAAATTTTGTGTTCTGCAATGTATAAGTCATTTGTTCCAGGATCAAATATTTCTACTTTATTAAAATACCTAGATTAGGCATCAGACATTTCATTCATTTTTCTTCCTGCAGTATCTCTACTGAACTGTATCACTCTTACTTAAAATCATTTTTTCATTCTCAGATGCTTACAATTATGTTTTTCATTCCATCCGAGGTGTTGTGGCAGATACACTGATCATCGATCACTTAAGAGTCCTTCTTCTTTGTTAACAGAAGCACGGTTTTCTTTGGGGTTGGCTAAGTACCCAGCCCCTGGGAGTGAAGCATGATTGACCTCAGTCATGATGATCCTGTTCTCTGCCAAGCTTTCCTTGCAGCTAGAGCTGGTCAGTCCCTAAGTTTTAGCTGATTAGATTTAGGTGTGTGGCTTTGAGGGGTTCTTTCAACAAAGCTTTTTTGTTTTGTTTTTTACTTATGAAAGGAGAAAGCCATCTCTCTTTTCTTGCATTTGACTGTGGTTGTGATGCCTGGAACTGGAGGTGACAAGTTAAGGACAAAACACCTGGACTTCCCAAAATGGCTGATGGAAGTCAAGGAAGAGCCTGGATTAGGCTTCCATTTTGAGCAATAAAGCTGCCTAGTCACCTGAAAACCTGCCATCTCTAAAGTATTTACAATTGCTTATAAAATGTAACAGATTTTTTAAAAAGTCCATAGCAGAGCAGAGTAACAGAGGAACTGAAGAGGGACCTGGAAGTTAGAGTGGTAAGCTGACTTTAAAGATGTGGTTGCTTAATTTTCTTAACAGGAACTGGTTATCTAAGTTATATTATATTCTTGAAATGAAATATTGCGCAGCTCTAACCTGAATCAGAAAGCTTTCTATACTCTGCTGGGAACCTCTCTAAGACATATTAAGTGACAAAAAGTAAGGTGCCAAACAGTTAAGGTGTTATCTTTGGTATAAAGAAAGGAGGTTATAAGAATGAAACAACGGAAGAGTACCCTGGGAATTATATAAAAATAGTTGTCTGAAGATCAGTGTAGCAGAGACTGTCAGTGCCCCATCCACATCCCTTCAACCTTTTCTTGTGCCCTGGCCAGCATCCTACTGCCAGGATCTGCAGCTCTTTGCTTAAGGGAGCAGCTGCTCTGCTGGTGCATGTATCAGACTGTGAGCAGCTCTCCCCAAATGATTCTCGCCCCTCAGATGAAAGCATTCTGAAGTGTGAGGAATCATTAACAAAAATTCCTAAAAAACCCTATAATCAGCAGATGTAAAAGCAACATTTTAAATAACTCATGGGTCACAGAAGAAATCACAATGGATACCAAAAAATAGAACTGAATCATAATGAACATATTGTATATCACAAAGTGGGTTGCATCTAAAATGGCAGTTGTAGCCATGTCATCTTTAATAAATGCATTTTTATTATTGTCTTTTTGATAGTGATGTTCAGGACCCCTCTTACTTGAACCTAGGAGTAGTATTGGGAAGGAAACTATAAGAAGAGTAAAAATTAATGAAATTGAAAGCGAATATATAATTGAGATGAACCAACACAAAGCAGTTATTTTGAAATAATAAAATAGATAAACTACAGGCACAATTGATTTTTTTAAAAGCATAAATTAATTTTTGGAGTGAAAAAAACTAGAGATATAGCACAGATCAATAAAAAGGAGGAAATACTTTAACAGTTCTATGTTAATACATATGAAAACAGGCAAAATGGATAATTTCTTAGAAAAACATAACTTACAAAACCTCACTCAAAATGAAGTAGAAAATCCAAATGGAAATATAATCATTAAAGATGTTGATGCATTAGTTAAAAATCTCTCACTAAAAGACAGAGGCTGGTATACTGAACCAGTGCTGCTCTGCCTTTTTCCAGACTTGTGTTACATGAGATTAAGTGTCTAGTTTTTACGTTTTCTGTTTCTTGTAATCACGAAAGTCCTAATAGGTATGGATTATCCTTATGATACCCACCCCCAACCCCTGACCTTTTTTTTTTTTTAAAAAAAAATGTCCAAGGAAGGGCAAGGAAAGCAAATAGTTAAATGGAAAATAAATGGAATGGAAGTTCAGTTGAGTCAAGAAATGCAAAGTGAAATTAAAGCTTAAGGTGGTATTTGATGATAATTCTATTATGATTTGTCATTTCTTTACTGGTATCTTAACTATGGCTTTTCACTAAGCAGATTCCCTTTGAAAGAATGTGTGATTTTTATTTTTTTCTTAAATGAACTGTTCTCTATGATACATTGATTGTAACTTTCTTTGAGAAAATGAACATTTTTAGCTGATA